AAAAAAAAAAAAAAAAAAAAATCAACTCAAGAAAGCCAGTCTGTATCTGAGAAGTCCACTGCTACTTTAAAAAAGTGGCTATATCAACCAAAAATGTCACCTGTAACCTGTATTTTAAATATAGCTCTGATACTTTCACTTCCTATGCTGCAGTGGAAGTTCACTGTCCAAGTCTCACAGTTATCTGAATGTATCTATTTCCTCACAGGTCTGACTTCAGAACAAAGTTCTCTCTAAAGAAAACAATTCATGTAAGTCCTTAAGTGCTTTAACTCTTTTACAACTTCGGGTGCGGGGGGGGAAAAGTTTAAGGTCTTTATTGTTGAAATTTTCCTACCCCCAAAGATGGCTTATCCATACTCTTGATCATCTGAAAAAATATATTTCCCAAGTAACTTTCAGGCAACCAAATTTATATTGGGCAACAATCCTTCTTAACCTCAGAGAAGGAAGAAGTTAACCATTTAATATTCATTAAATAGGAATTTAATAGAGATTATAAGCGATGGTCAACATATATTAGTTCTGGAGGATGAAATAGGCAGTAGAATAGTTAAATTTGCCACTAAGAAGTTATTTGGATTAGTAAAAACTGTGGAGAAGTTAGAAAATCAAGAAAAATCTACTCAAGTTAGAAGATTAAAGTTATACAACAGTCGATGAAATGTAAATAAATGTAATGTAATGCACACCAGAAGAAATTATGTTGATTATTAGATACGCAATGAGTTCAAATTAGTCCAGCCTTTTGAGAAAAATTACGAGTTATTGTGGACAGCTCAATGTGCAGCAGTGGTTATAAAGATTAACAAGATAAATAATTGAAGTAAGAAGATGAAAACATAAAATCTAGCCTAGCTCAATTCCTTCCAAGTCAGGTCATTCCTAAAGTAAATCCCATGTTTCATCCATACTAAGGTATCATGCAATTACATCCTTGATCAGGGCTACAAAACATATTAAAATGATAAAGCATAGATTAATAGGACATATCAAATATTTACTTTAACAGGCTTCATTAAAAAAAAAAGACATCTGAAACAGGAAAGGTTACAAGAACAGCACTGATTATGGCATGGGAAAGGGGTTTCAACATATGAGGTGAGTAAAATGAGATTTAGTGCAAAAGTAGTACAGTAACATGACAGAAGTATACATCACGATGTAAGGTATAAAAGGAGTCCCCATTCATCTTTCCTTGTAATAAGAATGGCCCTTTATTTTCAATGAAACAAAGGCAACAAATTTGATTTTTAAAACTATACTTCACAGAGCAATTATTACATTTTTGGAATTCACTGCCACAGAAAATTAAAGTGTTGAACAGATTTTAGAAAGGGTAATTATTTTATAAGATGGTGGTAATAATAGTGCAGTTATGAATTAATAAGTACTTTCATTCTAACTCCCTGTTAGGAGCTTAAAACCTTTCAACTTACATTTTGGCCTATAATTTCTTTGTAGTCTGAGCCAAAAGAAAGCTTTTTAAAAGATTCTATGCAGCCACTCTTTTGTTTTGTTTTCTGGTTGTTGTCACACTAAAGATTTTTTGTTTGCTTTTCAAACATAAGTTTAGTGTGCACTCATTCAGATGACCCAAGATCAGCGCCATTCTTAAATTCTGATGTGCATCTAACTCTCAATGTGCTTCAGTAACCGGAAAAAAGTTTGACAAGAAACTACAGAGAAAGTGAAAACAGCAGGATATGACTGCATGGCATACTATTTGCCATATCCACTGAAGTACATATGAAGGTAACAATCCTGGAATTAGATTTTCAGGGTTAGACTTCTTGGGGGAGGGGTGGGGTGGGGAAAGGGTGTTCACCTATTTGAAGCTTATTGCAAGATCAGGGCCCAGTTACAATTCTCTAGATAGAAGCAAGTACATCTTAACATCCATATGTAAAATACACACAATTATAAAACTGAAAGAAATCTGAATGCACAATACATTTTTCACTTATTGATTACAATGTATATTATTACAAACCTGCAGCTGAGATTTTAAATGAAAAAATAAAAGTTGCTTTTATATTTAGGTTATGGCAAGTGTGAAATGCCCTCCCCCCACCCTTTTTTACATAAACTTCAAGGCAGGCAGGCAGGCAGAAGGGAAGGGAAGGTTTTTTCTGACATACTCAGCCAGCAATTTAACAAAACAGCCAAAAGCAAATGAAACACAAAATCACCATAAAAATTTCCAAGTTACTTTCATTCTCTCTCGTTTTCTCTTACAGTACTCCTAGCCCCACTGACCATAATCCAAAAATCAATCCTCCACTGACCACCAGCGCAGTTCGTTCTTTCTGTCAAATTCACACATCCTGCTAATAAAGTCTATTTCCAGATCTCCTTCCTATCGAGTGTCTGAAGCATTCAATAGTTTCCGTAACTGGGAACTAATTTTTTAAATACTATAATTAGAAGGCAACATACTTTGGTCATGTGACATAACTTAGTAACTAAATATTCTCTATTACTATCACCTGAAAACTCATGAAAATAGGGAAAGAAATCATCCAACTTTATACTGACCTTAGAGATTTATTCTACTTAACATACAAAATATTATTTTCCATGTAAATATAAGCCAAGGGAATGATTAAGATAAATCCAGAATATATTACAAGTTCTCCATACCACACAGCCCCAATAAGCCATGCAACCTGTTTTGAGATGACAAAAATCAAGATTTTTTTTCTAGAGTAATGGCTGAACGCAGGCCTGCAACAGGGACACTATGCACTCTTCACTTACCACTCACTCTTTTGTTGCAGGTATCTTTAACCCTGTCACAGTCACCGACAAATTGGCAGAAGCTTTTGGCTGACACTGAAGAGTAGACTCTTTCCCTCTTGAATGCCCACCATTGAGTCAATCCCCAACAGCCATTCTAGCATGCCAATACCTCCACCCAAGTGCAGAAATCATCCCCTTCACTTAGAACATGCACACCAATTTTGAAGGGGTAATTTTTTGGAGAAAGGTGTATATGGTATGCAGTTCAATATGGTACTACTGACATAATTACACCTTATTTTAAAGACCTTCCTACTTATCATCCTGGGGGACAAGTCACTTTTAGCATTTTTTTCCCCGAGAGAAAATAGCAATCATCATTTAGCAAATCCTATTAATTTCATTGGTATTAAGTTATTAAAGAGACTGTACCTCAGCATGTTACTTCTCTTCATGAACGCACACTTGAACACTATACCCAGTGAGACTCACTTAAATAACAGCAACTGCTGTATATTGATACAGACTTACAAAATAAAAGGACATAATATAAATGTACTCTGATACTCTGGATGTAAGCTTACACCTTTAGGTCAAATGCTCCCAATGTTCACATTTTGAAAAAAGAAAACAAACAAAAAGCCCTAAAAGAAATGTTCCCATAAAGCATTTAAATTTCCACTGATCTGCTTTTAGAAAAGAGAAAACCATAACTCAAAGGTATCAAAAATACCTGTAGAACCCTATCATATGGCCCACTGCCCTGCCTGTGGTCTTGCACCCACATACTGGATGCAGCATGTGCTGGTCCCAGCCCTGCTCACTGCATGCAGCTCATGGAGCCCACATGGGGAGGCTGGCACATGAGCTGTATGCAGCACACAGGGCCAGACTGGAGCATTTGCTGCCTGCAGCATCCACACCAGACCAGGCCTATGTACTGGATCCAAGGCCAGCCCAGTTCAGTAGCGATATTTCTGGACAGTATATTTTTTTTGACCAACTGCATGTTGGGATAGACTTAGACAAGCTTTTGAATGTAGTGTATTATTCTTCAGGGAGAAGGTCCCTGAAGAATACTGCATTAAAAAAATTGTCTAAATCTATCCCAACATGAAGTTAGTCCAAAAAAAGATCCTATTTTTCAACATTCACTAGATCCAGCCTGCAGGGCCAGCTCAGTGCAGGCATCACATGCAGTGCATACCATAGATCAGTCCAACATGGGCCCAGGTACAGCATGTGCTGCATACAGTGCAGTGCTGGGAGCTAGTACATCTGTTGCAAGGAGCATGCAGGGCTGGTCCACAGAAGCACCAGGCTGGGCCTTCAGGCTAGATACAGCTTTTTTCATGTTGGGATAGACTTAGACAAGCTTTCAAATGGAAGTGAATTCTTCTTCAGGGACCTTCTCCCTGCATTCAAAAACTTGTCTAAGTCTATCCCAACATGCATCTGGTCCAAAAAAATATACCATCCAGAAACATCCTTGC